TGGGGGACTCCCCAGGTGGACCTGTTCGTGTTCAGGAAGAACAGGAAGTGCCATGTGTTTTGTTTGATCCGGGGGGTGGACAGGGGCTCCCTGTCAGATGCATTTCTCATCCTGTGGTCGGGGGCTCAGATGTATGCCTTCCTGTCAGTGCCGTTGATTCACAGAGTCCTTGTGAAGATCAAACAGGATGGGGTGAAGGTTATCCTAATAGCCCCCGCATGGTCTCGCCAGCACTGGTTCAGCACACTGCTGGACCTTTTTAGTAGCTGCCCCGCTGTGGCTGCCCCTCCAGTTGGATCTGCTGTACCAGAACTACGGCAGCCTTCTGCTCCCAAACCAAGCGGTGCTACACTTGACAGCATGGTCACTGCATGGCTAAATGCAGACAAATGGGAATGCTTGGCCCAGGTGCAGCAGGTCTTGTTGGGTAGCAGGAAACCCTCCACCAGAGTGACTTTCCTGGCCAAGTAGAAAAGGTTCACGTGCTGGACGTCTGAACAGCATATGGGGGCCCAGCAGGCCTCACTGCAGGAGATCCTGGATTATCTTCTGCACCTCAAACTCCAAGGCTTCTGCCTGTCATCGATCAGGGTCCACCTGACCGCTATTTCAGCTTTCCACCCTCCATTCCAAGGCAAGTTGGTATTTGCTCACGATATGATGGCCTGTTTTTTGAAAGGTCTGGAGCGTCTCTATCTGCATGTCTGAGATCCTGTCCCTCCTTGGGACTGGAATCTCTTGTTGTTGAGGCTCATGAAGCCTCCCTTTGAGCCTCTGGCTTCCTGCTGTCTCCTGCTTCTCTCCTGGAAAGTTTCGTTCCTAGTTGCGATAACGTTCGCCAGCAGGGTGTCCAAGATCAGGGCGCTTACTTCAGAACTGCCCTATACAGTATTCTAAAAGGAGAAGGTCCAGCTGTGACTGCTCCTAGTGTTTCTGCCCAAGGTAGTTTCCCAGTTTCATGCTGACCAGGACATATACCTACCTGTCTTCTTTCCAACACTTCATACATAGAGGAGGAATGCAGGCTACATGCCCTGGACATCAGGAGGGCGCTGGCCTTCTACCTAGATAGGACAAAGCTGTTCCATAACCCTGATTCATCCCCAGAGCAGGTCCACTCTGTGCACTGAGGTTGGGGTTCTTTGGGAAGAAATAGTATCTGATCACATAAATAAAAACTGTATTTTAACGCATAATCACAAGGGGGCAATTTAAGTTTGCACAGGCATTTCCTAACTTTTCTGGCATTTCCTAACTTTTGAGTGTTTGACTTTGCAACCTTAATGTTCTTTCAAATGTAGTTTTTTAAATGTAATTCTGTATAGATTGTATAATACATAGCGTACTCTAGGTAAACACATGAATGTGATATTTTAATTCTCAGGGAAGGTAAATAATACAGCTTGTTTGAAAAAATCAGACAAGTAACAAGAGACATTCTGCACACCATGCAATCATACCAAACTTAGGAACCCTGCATGATATAAGCAAACTGAAAAAACCAGAAATGCCATCATGTGGCATCATACTGACAGCCATATGATAAACCATCAGGGTTGGAACCCTTAGATTTGACATGCAGATCTGTGTTACTAGGTACCACAGAATATGCTGTGAGGAGAAAGTCTGGGATATCCACCTTAACACACTTAAAAGCAACTTCAATAAACAAGGCACTCCACCAAAGGAGCAGATCACTTCCACCTCTTGCTTCTTGCCCCAGATGCATTCTCCTTGCCTTCCCAGTCTCTACTTCTCAAGTTTCTCATTCCAGTCCCAGTCTCTCTGACCAGCCAGTCCCAGTTCCCATCCCCCGACTCTGAGTCCTAGCTTCCTCTCTCAACCAGTCCCAGCTTCCCTTCCCTACCTCAGCTCCCAGTACCAGTCTCCTCTTCCTTCCTCCTCATTCTTACTCTAGTCTTCATGCCCCTCCAGTCCCAGTCCCACCAGACTCCTTGTCCCAATCTACACCTTTTCCACCTCCCCTCCAGTCCAGCTTTTGTTGCCTCTATATTTGAATCTGATAGATTCCTATACCTTTCTGCCTGGGTTGCAGTGGGGTAGTCACTGAGAGCATAGGACAGCCACAATTCCTGCTTTCAGTTCCAGTGCCCAGGCCTTACTTGGGAACAGCCATTGCCATGGTAACTCTGGTCTGGAATGAGCACACTCTGTTGCTTTCTAGAGATGCAAAAAGAAAAGGAGTACTTGTGGCACCTTAGAGACTAACCAATTTATTTGAGCATAAGCTTTCGTGAGCTACAGCTCACTTCATCGGATGCATACTGTGGAAAGTGTAGAAGATCTTTTTATACACACAAAGCATGAAAAAATACCTCCCCGCACCCCACTCTCTTGCTGGTAATAGCTTATCTAAAGTGATCACTCTCCTTACAATGTGTATGATAATCAAGGTGGGCCATTTCCAGCACAAATCCAGGGTTTAACAAGAACGTCTGGGGAGGGGGTAGGAAAAAACAAGGGGAAATAGGTTACCTTGCATAATGACTTAGCCACTCCCAGTCTCTATTCAAGCCTAAGTTAATTGTATCCAATTTGCAAATGAATTCCAATTCAGCAGTCTCTCGCTGGAGTCTGGATTTGAAGTGTTTTTGTTGTAATATCGCAACTTTCATGTCTGTAATCGCATGACCAGAGAGATTGAAGTGTTCTCTGACTGGTTTCTGAATGTTATAATTCTTGACATCTGATTTGTGTCCATTTATTCTTTTACGTAGAGACTGTCCAGTTTGACCAATGTACATGGCAGAGGGGCATTGCTGGCACATGATGGCATATATCACATTGGTAGATGTGCAGGTGAATGAGCCTCTGATAGTGCGGCTGATGTTATTAGGCCCTGTGATGGTGTCCCCTGAATAGATATGTGGGCACAGTTGGCAACGGGCTTTGTTGCAAGGGTAGGTTCCTGAGGAAACTACAATCCATCAGTGATCTTCCTGATAACACCATCCTCGCCACTATGGATGTAGAAGCCCTCTACACCAACATTCCACACAAAGATGGACTACAAGCCGTCAAGAACACTATCCCCGATAATGTCACGGCTAACCTGGTGGCTGAAATTTGTGACTTTGTCCTTACCCATAACTATTTTACATTTGGGGACAATGGATACCTTCAAATCAGCGGCACTGCTATGGGTACCCGCATGGCCCCACAGTATGCCAACATTTTTATGGATGACTTAGAACAACGCTTCCTTAGCTCTCGTCCCCTAACGCCCCTACCCTACTTGCGCTATATTGATGACATCTTCATCATCTGGACCCATGGAAAAGAAGCCCTTGAGGAATTCCACCATGATTTCAACAATTTCCATCCCACCATCAACCTCAGCCTGGTCCAGTCCACACAAGAGATCCACTTCCTGGACGCTACAGTGCTTATAAACGATGGTCACATAACCACCCTATACTGGAAACCTACTGACCACTATTCCTACCTACATGCCTCCAGCTTTCACCCTGACCACACCACAGGATCCATTGTCTATAGCCAAGCTCTGCGATACAACTGCATTTGCTCCAACCCCTCAAACAGAGACAAACACCTACAAGATCTCTATCAAGCATTCTTACAACTACAATACCCACCTGCGGAAGTGAAGAAACAGATTGACAGAGCCAGAAGAGTTCACAGAAGTCACCTACTACAGGACAGGCCTAACAAAGAAAATAACAGAATGCCACTAGCCGTCACCTTCAGCCCCCAACTAAAACCCCTCCAACGCATTATTAAGGATCTACAACCTATCCTGAAGGATGACCCAACACTCTCACAAATCTTGGGAGACAGGCCAGTCCTTGCCTACAGCCAGCCCCCCAACCTGAAGCAAATACTCACCAGCAATCACATACCACACAACAGAACCACTAACCCAGGAACCTATCCTTGCAACAAAGCCCGTTGCCAACTGTGCCCACATATCTATTCAGGGGACACCATCACAGGGCCTAATAACATCAGCCACACTATCAGAGGCTCGTTCACCTGCACATCCACCAATGTGATATATGCCATCATGTGCCAGCAATGCCCCTCTGCCATGTACATCGGTCAAACTGGACCATACACATTGTAAGGAGAGTGATCACTTTAGATAAGCTATTACCAGCAGGAGAGTGGGGTGGGGGGAGGTATTTTTTCACGCTTTGTGTGTATAAAAAGATCTTCTACACTTTCCACAGTATGCATCCGATGAAGTGAGCTGTAGCTCACGAAAGCTTATGCTCAAATAAATTGGTTAGTCTCTAAGGTGCCACAAGTACTCCTTTTCTTTTTGCGAATACAGACTAACACGGCTGTTACTCTGAAACCTTTCTAGGGACGGTGAATGCACAAGAAGCTGTGAGGTGATGGAGGATGCTCAATCACTGTGTAGGGATGGTTCATGCACAGTGTGGTCAGCTTTAGATGTAGTGAGAGGTCTGAGCATGCTCAGTGAGGATGGAATCTTCTTTGATTTTAGAAGCTAAAAATCTCAGTCTCTATTCAGCATGCATGAACTGCAATTTTTCAAAGGCTTATAATTTGGGTAGATTTGCACAGGGCTAGCAAAAGTCACATCCCTGGCACAAAGGCCACTGCCCTGCCAAATTTCAAGTCTCTGCTCAAAAGTGTGAAAGTTCTAGAACTTTTCAAAGAATGTATTTTTTCCTTTCGTCTTTTTTGGAAATGATTGAACCATTTTGGATTACATTTTCCAAAAAATTCAACCTGAGACAGACACCTGGCCTGGAAAAGTTTCAGCCTGAATGGTTGAAGTTTTGCAAAGTTAAAAACAATTAAAAACAGGATCTTATAATGGGAAATGTCAGGCAACCTTAATAAGCATAATTTCCAACCTCACCTATAATATCTATACCGTGTCCTTATTTTAAAATTTTCCAATTATTACTGTAATTTTTGTCTGTATTGCAAGGTTTTGTGCATCCTCAAGATTTTGGCTAATTTCTACCTTGTCTTGTATGCTCTAGAGGAGAGGAAAAGGTGCAGACATGTCTCCCTCCTTACGCTCTGAAATCCCCTGTGTCCCAGCACTCCTGTACAGGAACCAGGTAGAGTGGTGCTCTGTTGGGACTGTATAGCAGGGGGTGTTACTATTGCGCAGGTGGTGGTCCCTAGCCCTGAAGTGGCTTGTGGAGTATAACCACTTACCAGTAAACACTGCTACATTTTGGATGTGTTGTAAAGAACACTGGTGAATGTTCTGCCATTCCAGTTCCCTGAGCCATCCTGTCTACATCTGCCATGTGAAGGTGGAATGGCTCATTGAACCCCCACTCTGCCATTATAACACCACTTCCCACACATACCCCGTGCTCAGTTTGAGTGCAAAGAATCAGAATGTAGCCCTTTGGTTTCCTAAGCAACTTTCTCCATTGTTCAAGATAAGAATATAGTACCATAATAATCTGCAATTAAGATTGCAAAGAATTTTTCAGGCAAAACAATCCATGGAAAAAACCCAGCACCTTAACTGGTAGTCAGATGACTTCTGATACCAATAACTTTATAACTGCTAAATATTTTATAAATATTCTGGAAGATTTATGTCAGTAAAAGCTGGTAAATCCACTCATCCTCAAGAACCCGTCTAATAAGTGTTTAGCCTCTAGGAAGAGTGATGTTCCAGACTTTTCTGCCTTTCTAGTCAGCATCCAAATATATGAATCAAAGAACATGAACATCTGTTTTAAACCTTTCAAATAATATTTTACAAACTTACCAAATATGTTCTGCACTATTAGTTGTTCATAAGATTTATTATGGAAACAATAGAATGATCTCAGCCAATCATAGTTTTAGGAAGTCTAAAGAGTAAGGCTCTTACTAATAATACTAACCCTTTTTAAGACTACACGTGTCTGATCATGTCATTCATTTTCCATACCAGCATTTGAATGGTTATTCACTTTTTATGACTGAGAAAATATGTATTTGCTCATACAAATTGAGTAACAGTCAGCTGTGCCTATATATATTTACTTAGTTTGAAGCAACACCACCAGTTTGCACATGCAAAATGTAAATTTTTTTGTTTTCTTTTATAGGTTCAATGGTGTGTATACATTTTGTCTCCCTCCTTAGAAAAGTTGGCCCTGTAGTTCTGTCCTCAAATAATTAATCCTCGTTCAAACCTGCCCTCAAATAATAATCTGTCTAGCTCATGTTATTAATGTGCTGTCACTGAAAAGTCCAAGCAAATAACGTTGCAAATGGTTTTAAACACCCATGAAGCAAGGGAAAATTGTGGATTTTTTTCCTTTTTTGCTTAATGGCTTGTATCTTTTATCTTGTCACATAGCAGGAATAACATTCAGTAGCATAGAACTGCATTAAAGGACTTTTGCAATTACCAGACTCTTCAACTTATCTTTGGCATTTAACGAACCTCAAAAGCTGTTTATTGCTTCGTATACTTTGCCATTGTGAATATTAGCCTTTAATTAACTGGAAGTGATCAATTACTCTCTGATCTCAGTCTTTCTAATTACAATATTCCAGCGAAGCATTTTTCTCAAGTTGTAAAAGGGAGGGTTTTTTGTTAAAAACGTAATGGAAAACTTTCATAATGCCTTTGTTACTAGGTATAACAATGGAATCCATAACATGTAGGGGCAACACACAGAAGTGACTTTTAGTAAAAGTAAAGCATTCTGTTGTATATTTTTTAATATTTAGAGATTATGCAGTATTGTTTAGTTTACTCCAGTGTCCCAATCACAACATTGGCCCCCTCTTAAAGGTTGAGAACTCATATACCTGGAAGGTTCTGAGAAAGATAATTTGAACATTTATCTTTTAGATGAATAGAGACATACTGTATGCATTTATGAGACACTGGGTTGCTTTAAATAAACAGAACCAAATCTTCCATCAGCGCTACATAAATAAGTAATCATCCTATTAGACCTGGTTGAAAAATGCCAATTTTTTTGGTAGGAAATTTTGAAAAGAATTAAGTTTCCAACAAAAATGTTTTGGTTTTCAAGTCATCTTCTCTTTGTTGTTTTATCAATTTCTTATCAACAGCTTCCTCTTGATGGTGCTCATTTGGTGTTTTAGGCAGAGGAGCCTGAACAGCATCATTGTGACATCAGGGGAAACTCCACCAAACATCACTCTCTCTCCCTCCAGTAACCCTAACCTTAAACCCTAATTTTACTGCTTTTCTTGATCATCTCTCCCCTTGGCAGACCCATTTGAATTCTGCACCAAAGGATTCTGCACCAAATGAGCACTGTTTATATGAACAAAAACAGTTTTGACTGGACAAAAGTAAATTGTCTGTGCCAGGGATAGTGTGAGGGGAGTCACTGTGCAAATTTCCATTCCATATTAGTCAACCAATATAGCTCCTGATCTGAAGCAATCCTGGCTATTCCAGTCCAGACCCTTGCAGCCCCACAACTCTGTAAAAACAACACAGTCCTCCATTTGCTGAGACCTCACTTTGCTCAGCTAGTAAAACCTATCCTACAAGAAGAAAAAATATTGGGCAAAGGATATTTGCCTGACCCTGTCTCCTTTCAGAAGAATCCCCTATAAAGTAAGAATCATAGAAGTGGGAAAGTGAGGCCTTATCTACACAGGGGAAATTGATTGGCATAGCTATTTCGGAATAACTGTTCAAGTATAATTGAGCTATTTTGAAATAACTCTCTCCTGGATGGACATTATTCTAGAATAAAATTGCCTATTTGTTTATTTATGTATATTATCATAGTGCCTTGGAGCCCCAGTTATGGACCAGGACCCCATTGTGCTAGGCACTATACAAACACAGAATAAAAAGATGGTCCCTGCCCCAAAGTGCTTATAATCTAAATATCAGCTGAAACATCAGACATATACAGACACGTATTTCAGGGGAGTACAAGGAAACAATCAGACAATATTGGTCATCATGATAAATAGTGGTAGCAGCACACCCATGGCTTAATGGTTGTCAAGTTTATTGTAAGGCATCGAGGAAAAGGAAAGTTTTAAGGAGGAATTTGAAGGAAGGTAATAAGGTAGCTTTGTGGATACTTATGGAGAGCTCCTCTCAAGTGAAGGGCATCATGGGAGAAAGCGCAAAAGTGCTTGTCTGAAAATGTAACAAGTGGATGAGGAAGACTGGCATCATTGGCTAACTCGAGGCAGTGGTTAACATTTCAATAGTGAATGACAGATGATAGGCAGGCTGGGGATAGACCACGAAGCTCCTTGAATGTAAAGAAAAGTAGCTTAAGTTTGGCATGATAGACAGGGAGGAGCCAGTGGAAGGATGCAAAGAGAGGGCTAATATGGTCAAAGCGATGGGTTAGGAGAATATTTGTGGCAGCATTCTGAATGGATATGTGCAGGCCAAAGATTGATTTGTCAAGGCCAGGGAAAAGGTTGTTGGAATAATCAAGATACTGAAAGCATGGATGACAGTTTTAGGTGTATGGGTGGATAGAAAAGACCATAATATATAAATGTTATTGAAAAAAAATCTGCAATACTTAAACGTAACACAAATATGAGGAGTGAGAGAGAGGTCTGAATTAAGATTACACCTGGGTTACAGGCCTGAAAGACCATCAGAACAGTGTTTACAGCCGGTTTGAAATTTTTCAACAAACTGTTTTTTTGTTGTTGTCAAAACTGAAACTTTGCTGTTGAAACCAATATGCTTCAGTGAAAAGTATCTCAAGTCCAGGATGGACTTCTTGGTCAAAGAAAGACACCCACCACCCATCTCAAAATAGCCAATATCCTAGTTGTTAAGGCATTCACCTTTGATGTGGGAGAGCAGGGATATGAACATAATTCTTCCACATCCCGGCTGAGTACCCTAGACACCAGTTTATTCTAGTGTGTGTCTTTCCCTCTAGTGTGTGTCTTTCCCTTTCTCTGTTTTTTCCCAAAATTTTGAAAAGTCTTGCTTTTGTTCTGATATGGAATGAAATTCTGAAACTTCATAATATTCTGTGAAATGGAATTCTTATTTTCTGGCCAGCCCTAGTGATATTGCTCACAGTGATTGAGAAAGGAGGTAGTGGGGAGGATTTGAAGGGGAGAATTATGAGCTTAGTTGTAACCATATTGTGCTTGAGCTGACAGCTAGACATCCATAAGGTGATGTCAGAGAGACGAGATGAGATTTTAATTTGGAGAGAAGGAGACAGGTCTGAAATACAGAGGCAGATTTGTGATTCATCAGCACAGAGCTGGTACTTGAAGTTGTGTTTGCAGATGAGATTACCCAGAGATAAGGGATAGAGGCAGAAGAGAAGGGACCAAGGACAGACCCTATGGATTGCCCCACAGAAAGTTGAGGGGGGATGAGGAGGATCCACTAAGGATATGCTGAAGGAATGACTACAGAGATAGGAGCAGAATCACTAGGAGAAGAACCAGGATAGAACAGAGTCACAGAAGCCAATAGAGGACAAGACTTAAAGAAGAGCATGGTTGACTGTGTCAGTGATCATAAGGGTCCCTTTTGGCCTTGGAATCTATTAATATAAGACACGTCAAGAAAGATGAGTATGTAGTGTTGATTATGAGCTTTGGATAGGAAGACATCATTACAGATTTTGGCAAGAGCTGTTTCCTTGGAGTGCCAGGGACAGACGCCAGATTGGAGAAGGTCTAGGATAGAACTGGAGGAGACTAACTCCAGTCAGTGATTGCAGACAGTGTGTTGACTAAGTTTAGAGATGAAAGAGAGAAAGGAAATGGTGTGACAGTTGGAGAGGCAAATGGGATTAAGGGTAAATTTTTGTTGTTGTTGTTTTTTTTAATGGGAGAGCCCAAAGCCTTGTACTGTGAGGGGAAAGCACCAGAGGTGGTGAGAGGTTAAAGAGAAAAGTAAGAGGGAGGGGATGAGAGTGGACAAGAGGGAGATCAGGAAAGAGGATAGGGTGGAGTCACTGAGACAAGTGATGAGGTTAGAGGAAGAGAGCAGACAAGAAGCTCCTGCATCTGTGATAAGAGAAGGAGAAGAGGTGTAGGAGGGGACAGGAAGGCAAGCCAAGGGGAAGGAGAAGATCATGTTGTATTATGCTAATTTTCTCTTGGAGGAAATTGGCAAGATCCTATGCAGAGAGAAGTGGAGGCAGTAGGAGAAGAGATACAGAAAAAGAAGGGAAGGAAGGCAGGGGGTATAGGTGTGACTTTAGGAATGAGGGTATAGGTGTGACTTTAGGAATGATGGCACAAGAGAGGCAGAGGCGGTGGTGGGGAGACATGTGTGACGTGCAAATGGTGGAGGCAGGGCCAGCTCGACAGTTTTTGCCCTCCCAAGCAGTGAAAAAAACTGCTGCTGCAGACGGCAAAAGGAAGAAGCTGCCACTGATTTGCCGTGGTGGCGGATGGAACAGAGAAGCTGCTGCCCCTTTCTAACTGCCACCCCAAGCACCTGCTTGGAACACTGGTGCCTGAAGCCGGCGCTGGGTGGGGGTGGTGAGAGAGTCAGGGTTAGGACCAACAGCCAGCATGGATTCACCAAGGGAAGGTCATGCCTGACTAATCTAATCGCCTTCTATGATGAGATTACTGGTTCTGTGGATGAAGGGAAAGCAGTGGATGTATTGTTTCTTGACTTTAGCAAAGCTTTTGACACGGTCTCCCACAGTATTCTTGTCAGCAAGTTAAGGAAGTATGGGCTGGATGAATGCACTACAAGGTGGGTAGAAAGCTGGCTAGATTGTCGGGCTCAACGGGTAGTTATCAATGGCTCCATGTCTAGTTGGCAGCCGGTATCAAGTGGAGTGCCCCAAGGGTCGGTCCTGGGGCCGGTTTTGTTCAATATCTTTATAAATGATCTGGAGGATGGTGTGGATTGCACTCTCAGCAAATTTGCGGATGATACTAAACTGGGAGGAGTGGTAGATACGCTGGAGGGGAGGGATAGGATACAGAAGGACCTAGACAAATTGGAGGATTGGGCCAAAAGAAATCTGATGAGGTTCAATAAGGATAAGTGCAGGGTCCTGCACTTAGGACGGAAGAACCCAATGCACAGCTACAGACTAGGGACCGAATGGCTAGGCAGCAGTTCTGCGGAAAAGGACCTAGGGGTGACAGTGGACGAGAAGCTGGATATGAGTCAGCAGTGTGCCCTTGTTGCCAAGAAGGCCAATGGCATTTTGGGATGTATAAGTAGGGGCATAGCGAGCAGATCGAGGGACGTGATCGTCCCCCTCTATTCGACATTGGTGAGGCCTCATCTGGAGTACTGTGTCCAGTTTTGGGCCCCACACTTCAAGAAGGATGTGGATAAATTGGAGAGAGTCCAGCGAAGGGCAACAAAAATGATTAGGGGTCTGGAACACATGAGTTATGAGGAGAGGCTGAGGGAGCTGGGATTGTTTAGCCTGCGGAAGAGAAGAATGAGGGGGATTTGATAGCTGCTTTCAACTACCTGAAAGGGGGTTCCAAAGAGGATGGCTCTAGACTGTTCTCAATGGTAGCAGATGACAGAACGAGGAGTAATGGTCTCAAGCTGCAGTGGGGGAGGTTTAGATTGGATATTAGGAAAAACTTTTTCACTAAGAGGGTGGTGAAACACTGGAATGCGTTACCTAGGGAGGTGGTAGAATCTCCTACCTTAGAGGTTTTTAAGGTCAGGCTTGACAAAGCCCTGGCTGGGATGATTTAACTGGGAATTGGTCCTGCTTCGAGCAGGGGGTTGGACTAGATGACCTTCTGGGGTCTCTTCCAACCCTTATATTCTATGATTCTATGATTCTATGATTCAATGTCACCAAACATAGGAGGAGGATGTGGGACCTAGATTTGTGCTGGTGGAAGAAGGTAGGAGATCAGTGTGAAGAGGGGAAGAGGAGTAAGTCGAGATGGTGGGGATTGTAGAGGGATAAGACAAGATGGAGCCACTGAGGGTAGGGGACAGGAGGGGAAGAGAAGGCAGGGGAGGGTCGGGGAGGAGGAGGAGGATGGATACTATGATGCAGAAGATGCATGTGTTGAGGAGCCATGGGTGATTGGCAGATGAACAAAATTACAAAGGAAAAAACAAAACAAAAAAACAAGCACAGGTCCCTGCTTTCTGGGAAATGTCTTCTATTATAGGAGGAGCCCTCTCACTCACCACTGCTGCCAATCATTGTCCCTGTTGGTGGCAAGGGGTCAGGGCCAGGCTAAGATGTACTAATGTCTGCTACTCCCGGTCCAGCACTTCATCTCTACTGACTGGGAAGTGCTCCCTGTAATAAGCAGAGCCCCCAAGTTGCAGTCCCCATTGGTGATGAGGGATTGGAGACATAAACTCATTTTTATTCCAGAATAAAGCATCACAATGGGGAGCTATTCTGGAACTACTTTATTCCATAATAGTTATACTGGTCCATTTTCCCATGGAAACAAGGCCTTATTTCCAGGCCTGATTCTTGTTTTACACCAGTGTTAATGCATTACCTTTAGTGAATTTGCTTATAGAAGGCACAGAGTAGGTTTTTTTGCAGAAGTTAATACTGATGGGGTCACATTAACTTTAACTAGACATTGTAAAGAAATTTCTGCACATTATGAGGAGGATACTATTGTGTTTGGTGGCCTAATCCAGCTCCCCCCTCCTCTTGGACACACCACCTAAAGCCCATATTGCCAAAAACATACTGTTTGTACATTCAGGGCTGCTTAGAAACCTCTCCCTCTTAAACATCTACCTACTACTGTAGCCAGTATTTGTGTGTATCTCACCCCTCTCCGATGCCAAAAAGCAAAGGGGAAGTGATTTGTGTCTTACTTTCATATTAAAGCAAATAGAAAGATGCTTCCCAAGGAGACGTGTTCTTCTAGATGCTGATTAAAATAGCTTACACTTATGTATTGCTTTATATTTTAATTGCTTTACAAACGAGAAGTAATTAAACCTCCTAAAACATGTCAGGTATTGTAAAACTTGTGAGCATGTAGTATTATTTCTATTTTTAAAAAGTGTGAAAACTGATGCAGAGTTTAAAATGAAAAGACAGTTTTTCATGGGATGATCCAAAAACCAGACAATGCAAATTAGTACCTACAGGACAATGCAAACAAAATTCTAAATCTTCATTGAAGAGTAATACTCCTTTCCTTTAATGTCTATTAAAAACCCTATCAGGACACTTAAATTGAAAGAAATATAACATGGGAAGAGTGAAATCAGTGCCATCTGCTATCTTATCAACCCCTTTTAAACCACTAACGTTTCTAAACAAATTTCAGCATTATTATTTTAAAAATGCAGTTGCATTATGGTTTGTTTGTATATGTCTTTTTTAGGTAAGAGGACCCCCAGTTGCAGGAGCATTTAAAGAAAGACCAACAAAGCCTACAGCATTTCGCAAGTTTTATGAGCGAGGAGACTTCCCAATTGCCCTTGAGCATGATTCGAGAGGAAATAAAATAGCCTGGAAGGTAAGTCAGCGCACAGCTGTAACAGCCAGTTGCATTTATTGAAGTGACATATCTCATTGCCAAACAAAGTTGGCTTATAAGTAAATAAACTGGAGTAATTTCTTAGCAAATGGAAGATGGTGGAGGAGCTGTTTGAGAAAGGCCCCCTGAGTCAGCCATATACCTTGTCTAACAATTAAATTATATGTTGCAAAAAGGAAGATGACAGAGTTGCTTTGCCTGAAAGTATTGTCTCCTGCCCAATTCGTCTCTATTTCTATGAGGACCTGGCAACCCAGCCTATTTCAGGCAGTCCATCAAATGATAGAAGTAGCTAGATACAGTGAACAGCAGCCATTTATCTCCCCCAGATTTCACCTTCCTGCAGGACGCTTCCAAATGGAAGCTTTAATTACCTAAATGGATAGGTCAAGATTGCCTGCTCCCTGGAAATGCAGAGCAGAATACAAATGAAGGCAAATTCTCATTCCATGGCTGTACTCTCAGTATGCAGCATATGTCAGGCAGCGTAATCGCTGTCATACGTGCCCCTGTTAGAGGCTGACCTCCACTGCAGAAACCATTACGGCTCCGACGTTTCTCTGACAAAAGGTTAATTGGCTTCAAAATAAATGTATTGCCTAATGACTCCATTCTAATGCGTCTGTGTTTCTCTTTAAAAGGCTCAGTGATGTTATTTGTAAAACTTGCCAATCTTCTAAGTAACTAGAGCAGGCTTTTAAATTTAATTTGAAAAATGAGTGCTGATCTTTAACCTGCTCCTGCTATTTAATTTATTTTTGTTATCAAAGAATTACTTAACTTTTTGTGTTATTTATTGGGCTAGAATAAGATTTTTCTGGAAACAGAATAATAGTTACACAGGGTGAGCGTGATGTACATGAGGAAAAATACATCAGATCTGTAGAATTTGAATTGTTCATGTTAAACATGGTCCTAATTTAAAAATATAGCTCTGTTAATTCAGTGAATGGAAGGGGGATTTCACAATACAGGGTTTGATCCTCCTCTCACTGACATCAATGGCAGCAGGATTAGGATTATAGTGTGGAAGTGAAAGTATGCTGTTTAATTACTGGTTATTTGGATATAGCTTTTTTACTTACCAGGCTATAAGTTGTTGTGAAGGCCAAGACTATAATAGGATTCAAAAAAGAACTAGATAAGTTAATGGAGGATACGTTCATCAATGGCTATTAGCCAGGATGGGCAGGGATGGTGTCCCTACCCCAGGGGAGAAAGTAACATTATACACTTACCAGCATAGGAGCCTGGCTCTGGACCCCCAGAAGGGGCGGGGACTCGGGCGGTAGCGGTGGCCGGAGCCCCGGGCCCTTTTAAATTGCTGGCCCCAGGACAGCTGCCCATTTTGCTCCCCCGCCCCAGTCAGTGGCTTAGGAAGGCGGGGGGGGTGGGAGGAAGGGACAATGACATTTAAGCACTGCCCTGGCAGTGCTTTAACGTTGGCTACATACGGGCCAGATCGGTGGCCACTTTTTACTGGTACACCGGCCCGGCCCATACCAGCCCACTTTCACCCCTGCCCTAGGCTCTATTTGCCAGAAGCTGGGAATGGGCGACAGGGGATGGATCACTTGATGATTACTCGTTCTGTTCATTCCCTCTGGGGCACCTGGCATTGGCCACTGTCTGAAAACAGGATACTGGGCTAGATGGACCTTTGGTCTGACCCAGTATGGCCGTTATTATGTTCTTAGGGTCTTAAAAAGTGGGAAACATGGAACAGACTGTAACTTTATTTCATATAACTATTAAATCAATGCAGGGAAACAAGACATAGTTCTTGCAGCAAGGGGAACCTGCAGCCAACCTCTCAACCATAGCTTTTCCACATTCTCAGTGAAAACTAGGAGATTCCAACATCCCCTCTGACTGGTCCATGGATTGACTTGGCCATGCCAACTTCCAGGATTTATCTTATTCACTCTAAACTCATAAAGAGGTCTAACTAGCCTTAAACTGCTCTCCAGCATTTTCTGCCACTGGGGGTCAGTGTCCTGAGATATTTCAATTTCTAACCGCATAACATTAAATTGAGAGATTCCAACCACTTTTACCCCATTTTAATTGCTACTTGGCCTACATATTCCCACCGCTAGAACCATCTTGCTACTAGATGCTGCTAATGACTCCTTGGCTAGTAACCAAGACCCTTTGTGTATAGCGAACCTTCCAGGTAAATCTTAATGTCTAGAATAAAGAAGTTGTTCCCAATGTCTGAAAGGTGAATTGTGTTTGAATGGAATGGCCCTGGATAATCATAGGCTATGTTCAATGTGCCACGGTGCCGCAAACATAATCCAGGAAAGGCTTTCTCATTTCTCATAGTTCACAATGGCTCCCTCTCCCTCCAACCTCTGCAGTACAGTAATATGGTCAGCAAGAGGTAGGATTGCAATGTCATCCAGGCCCTTTCTGATATTCCTAATCCCTGTCTGATGACCAGATTATACCATTGAGTACTACGCAGTTTAAGCATACACTGAAAAATGGGTAAGGTGGAAGATGGGCTTTTTTTGGTTCCCACCTTACCTTACAAGGGGACCAGGTAGAGATCCTGGCAGTTGGGAGGATACCCACTATTGCAGGACTGTGGGCAGGATAAGGAGAATGGTGTTCATACACATGTTAATAGCTGTGGGGGTAGAGTTTATATTTTTCTCTTTGTTTTAAGACACAGACACATAGCTCAAATACAGACATACATCTGAATACTAATTTTCATCCATTATATTGACTTCTAAATCTGCCTAAATCATGAAGACAATGATCTAATATTTCTCAGTCAAAACCTTTGTTTTCCTTTAGAGAGTTTGCTAGAACTGCATTAATAAATGAAACTAGATGTTGCCTTTAATGATACAATGTTTGGAAGAGGTTTTTCTAGAAAATGTTTTATAGAAACTTCATTCTATTGCATTTATTTCCACGTATCATCTGGTTTTACTGAAACAAGGACAAGCAGAGAAGAAATAAATGATGTCACATTTATCGTAGATATTTTAGTCTGATATTACCACATAATATCACGGTTTTATTGTTTTTTCTTGTTCTGTTTATATGTGATGCATGTCATGGTTCATTTCACTTGTTAGCTTGTCTGTTCAGTGGTGCACGAGAGCTAATGCAAGGGGAGTCTCAAAAACGTGATTTGTTCTGACAAAGGAAAACACCTCAGGATGTTCTTCCTTCCCATGAAATATACAATATTTAATTTTCTAATAATTATTAAAACATGATGTAAAATAATTATAATTATGAGACGTTAAAATAGTGAAAAAAATGTGTTGATCACTCAAGTATTCCATTAAGGCTGGGGTTAGACTCAACATGGTGGTCTTCAGTTACCTGAAAAAAATCTGAGATTTATATAAAAACTAAGATCAATGGTCTAACAATATGTATATAGAGGGGGTTTATTGTGTCTAGTAAGCAAACACAGACCTGCAAACACTTATACACATGCTAAACTTTAAGTATGTGATTAGTCCCATTTAGGGAGTTGTCTACACATGAAAGTTATTCTAGAATAAAGTAGGGTGTGAATTGAAAGCAGAATAACTATTCCATGTGTACATAAGCCCTGTGTGCAGAATTTGAGCCATAATTAGGACCTGATTTTCCTCTCGTATGCACTGGTAGAGTTGTACTGGTTTGAGAACAGTATCAATGGAGGACTACAACTATCTAACATGTTTTTAAAGGTATTAAATCATCTCTAAAAAAGGTACTAAGTAGTGTTTAAAACTGTGTTAATAAAACCATGTTAGCTAATATGTTTTTAAAACACCACCTTTTTTTCTAGTTTAGACTGGGCCCTGGAGGTTTGAATTCATCCCTTCCCTGGTAAAGTTCAAGTAAATGGGCTTAGTGCAGGGGAATATGCAGAAGTTTAGAGGAAATAAAACCCAGGAGTAAGTGTGGATTGAATGGCCCCTCCGAGCCATCTTATTTGGAGCTAGTTTCGAGATCTGCTTTGCCTGCACTTCCAGAAGGTTTATTCTGGATGTGTAGTTTGTTGAGTTGCCTTTTACCACTTATAATTTGCAATTTCACAATGGAAAATGAAAGGAGGTGTGCATTTTATGACTTTGAGGGGTTGTGACAATGTCTGATCTCTGTCTGATCAGCTGGAGACACAATACTATTCAGTGGATTTTTTCAATAGAGGCCGAAGAAAGTTAGATTTTGCTACAACAAAGTTAACTCTTACTGTAGGTTTTTAAGTTTACCATGGCAAAGGGCATCTCCTTGGATGCTCCTGTAATATTGGGTATTGTGCTTCAAAGGCAGTCATATTAGACTCTTTCTTCTTTTTCTCTCCCCCCCCTTCTCTTTTTTTATATTATTCAGATTTTTTTTCTTAAAAGGCTGTTTCCACCTGATAGAGGAAAACAGATAAATAAAATGTATTTATAATCTAGGGCTAGAAAAGTGCTCTATAAAAAAAATTTAAAAAAAAATTGAACCAAGCTTGAAAGAATAACAAATAGACAAAGTACTAAGTAACTCCGGCAGCACCTCCCCCCCCCATACATTTAAGAATAAAAAGTAATACCAATCTAAACAATCTTGGTTTACAAACTATAATCAGTTCCCCATCTAAAATAAGATAGGAACCTCTTAGTCATAGCATCTGCCTGCGTTTGTGGAAAATGGGCCCTTTCAAAGAAACTTGGTGTCTTTTATTGATGAGATTATAAAATTTGGTTGATAAAAGTAACAGTGTTTATGTAGTATATTTAAACTTCCATAGGGCAATTGACTTGGTACCACACAACATTCTGATTAAGAAACTAGAACCGTACAAAGTTAATATGACACATATTAAATAGATTAAAAATTAGCTAAGTGATAGGTCTCAAAATGTAATTGTAAATGGGGAATGATCATCAAATGGGTGTGTTTCTAATGGAGTCCCACAGGGATCTATTCTTGGCACCACTCTATTTAACATTTTTATCAGTGACTTGGGAAGC